TAACCGGGAAAGTTAGCCAACTTATTCGCAGGTTTACGCCTTGAGTCGGGATGGAGGATACTTTTAGGGGTTATGGCAGAAAAAAAAAGAAATCTTGTTTTAGGTTTCACGAATATAACAATGGTATGTAGCCAGTTCGAAAGAGGAACATCTCGCTCCTTCAGGTTCATTGTGTTTTATTATTTTTTTCAGGCAATAATTAATTCATAATTTTATAACTATAAAATAGTACAATGATATAAAATCAAAACATTATGATGGACATGAATTAATAACAAAATATGCAGAATAAAGTATCGGTAAGATTCAATATAATTAGGTACGCGTGTACAACTAAAATATTTAACATAACAAATAAACTCCAAATTTATCTATACCGCCCTATACCCGACTGGCTGCTTTCTGACCAATGATATACTTTCGCCACCGACGTGATCCTTCCTGCGCCCTGGACACAATACAATAGCTTACCCCTCGGTATCGCTAGGTATACATTAGTTGACAAGTATATTCAATTTGAACTTATTAGAATATATACACAATATCAATATAAACAATATCTAGAGTAAAGTAAGCTTATTTGAATTACACAATATTCAACGTATAGTTAGGTTATTTGTATTATTATACACATGAACTGCTCACAGGTATACATCAGTGTTGACACTATTAACATGATGGAAATATGAGTCTTACAAGTGAGGTTATGAAATATTTCAGAAAGTCAATGGAAATTGTTTTTTTCTTTCTTTCTGTTTCCGCAATAGCACAGTGGTGGTTACCACATGAACAAGACCAAAACACTTTCTTATAAAACAGACAAACTAGACAAAGTTAAATTTCTATTTTACTTGGTATATGCGGTCAATGAATTTTCGTCCTATTAACAGCGTTGGTCATTTAAGTCAGTACCACCAAAACAAAAAATAAAAGTAACTTCAATTACCGTTTAATTGCTAACATAAGATAAGGTATCGTATCTTTCAATAAAGTAAAGGTAGCTATTTGGAAATATCAACTGCAAAAGTGAACAACCCGTTCATAAACGACACTATCTTTCCAAGTAAAAAGTTCAGGAAGTTTATTTATGATATTAATAGGTATAACATGACTGTAAGTTTAAAACTAAGGAGACGAGGTTACATACTGACTTTTTGAGCATAGACAAGTTGTGTGAACTTCGGCATACTTACTGGGACACTTTGTGTATGAGTTAAGTATGAACTAATCTTACTCATCACCTATTTAGAATGAGTCACGAACACAGAGTAACCCGAGTACATTGTTCAAAACCTAACATTGCGTGAATTCTGGAAGATTTCTTGTAGGAAGCTATTTATTTATCACAATACCACAGGGCGATCAGGAACTGACGCAGTGTGAGGTGTCGACATACTTTAACATAGTATAGTTGATAATTGGTATATTTATAAATTCATCAAAATGAATAGTGTGTCTATTTGCTTTCTTATATTTATTGATTATATCTTACATGATATCATGTGACCGTCTAGGTAACAGATATAGGCTACATGTATGTATGAAGTGGGGCTGATGAGAAAGAGTACCTGTCCACAGTTACTGGTAATTCTTATGGAAAAGGCGTTAGTGTTAACAAAAACAAAAACTTTGACCGAAACGCAATTACAACCTAACCATAGAAGGTATAGTGTTATTATAGTTTGCTTGTGAACATGTATCAAGGAACATATCAACTTTGTGGGATTAAAACATAGTGTACTGTAAATAACACGTGTATTGTGTTTAAGTAACAACAAAATACCCTTATCTGATAAAATAGATGTTAAACCTGACTAGGGCTATACTTACATGTTAATACGGGCTGTACGTATAGTGTGTTGCAAATGTTACCAGTCAGAAAATTGGGAAAGAAGGAAATTGGATATGCATTTTCAGTTTTGTTTCGGCGAATTTTGTGAATGGAACATGAGCAATGTGCATGTATTTTCAGTAATGACGTCACCATCGATGAATCCGAGTCGATCCAGTGTTTTCAAAATTGTAATTCAGGAAGGATATCTTCTTTAAGTTCACACGTTTATGTCTTTGCACTCAGTACCTGATTTTATTCCTATAATTGCCCCTCAATATCTGCTACATTAAGTGTTGATTTGATACATATCAATATCCATAGGTTGGAAATCTTTCCAAGTAAAGAGTTCAGGAAGTTTATATAAAGTATTAATAGGTATAACATGACTGTGAGTTTAAAACTAAGTACACGAGGTTACAAAAGGACTTTTTGAGGATAGACAATATGTGTGAACTTCGGCATACTTACTGAGACACTTTGTGTATAAGTTAAGTACGCATTATATTTTATTCATTACAAATTCAAAATCAGTCACGAACGGTACACAGTAACCCGAGTACATTGTTCAAAACCTAACATTGCGTGAATTCCGGAAGGTATCTTTTAGGGAACTATAAAATCATCACAATACCATAGGTCGATCAGATAATAATAGTATCATAGTTATTATAGTCTACCTGTGAACATGTATCAAGGAACATATCAACTTTGTGGGATTAAAACATAGTGTACTGTATACAGTGAATTGTGTTAAAGTATCAACAAAATACCCTTTTGCTTACTGATATCAGTACCTAGATGAACATGCTAAATCTTAAGCAGGGATATACTTTGATAGTTCACTGAACATGGAGAAATAAGTGAACGCTATNATGGTAGTTCTTATGGAAAAGGCGTTAGTGTTAACACAAACTTAGACCGAAACGCAATTACAACCTAACCATAGAAGGTATAGTATTAATATAGTTTACCTGTGAACATGTATCAAGGAACATATCAACTTTGTGGGATTAAAACATAGTGTACTGTATACAGTGTATTGTGTTAAAGTATCAACAAAATACCCTTTTGCTTACTGATATCAGTACCTAGATGAACATGCTAAAGCTTAAGCAGGAAAAGACGGAACCAATCTTTTTTCCCAAAGCGTCATCAAACAATGGTTCTCCAGCTCAAGGTCGGTGACAGAACTATTGAGACTGTCCCAGCTGTTAAAAACTAAGGGGTATACTTAGTTTTTTCATTGAACATGGAGAAATAAGTGAACGCTATTTTTCCTCTCCTGTTACTGTGCGCTTGTCACCAACCCTTGTTTCAAGCATTTTGTGTATTCTTGACAAGGGTATACCCGGACCTGGGTTATAAATAGTTTTGTCTTTGGGAGTGAAGTCTTAGAAAAAGGAGGGAGGAATGTAATGGAACTTGACTGGGTCGATCATCGGCGACCAGATAGCTCAATTGATAGAGCGTAAGTCTAGAGTTCAGAGGGTCCCGGGTTCGAAACCCGGCCTGGCCTGTCACATTGGTATACATAATGAAATCGGCTTAGTTTGTACGTCCTTTATACTATTATATACCGTAATATACCGTAACACATACAATCTATAGTCATTATGATACGAATATAAGTATCGTCCGTACTACATTGCATAGTGACACATATGCATGTCTATTCCATTGAATTATGTAATATACCAGCAGATTTAAACACAAAACTGAACCCCTGTGTGCGATGCGATATCGTCAAAAATATTAATACTTAATCTTAAATTATGATCAGGTGGTTAAGCTATTCTGTTCAATGAATCAAAATGTATACAGTATGATTATATTAAGCGATCGCCTCTAGGTAGGACCTATTTCATATTACCGTGAAAACTATGCCGACTTTAGATTTACAATTCTGATATTGCTTTGCTTTAGCTGTGACATCTCAACCTCCTCTACGGATGGAGTGTAATACTCACAGTTGATTTGTTATTCCTGTATCCGAATAAACAAACAGGTAATCATCGCAGTTCACCGCCCGTTTGACCGATATAAAATTCAGAACACTTGTTACAAATCATTGCGTAAATTACATTACTAGACTTACAATTCATATGCTTTTTAACCTTAAACCTAAAACCATTTTTGAACTTAACATCACTTCCTTCTATAATTTGGTTACAAGTACCACAACGAGGTGTATTACATTTTGATACACATGCATTAATATGATTACTTTCAAACCTTGATCTAGTTAGAATACGTTTAAGATGTTTTGGTTGTCTTTTGCTGTTTATTAAAGCACAACGGTGATATATATATTGATGATATATATATAAATAAAACAAAACACGAAGACTAGTATAATCGGCTAGCGCTTTCGCCCATCTTGGGGCTCTTCATGCGATTTAAATTTATTTGTGACGTCATAAATGGAGTACACATACTTAAGACGTCAAAAATAATGACGTCATAAACAATGTACACATAATGCGGACGTCTAGAAATTGCGACGTAAAAAGATTACATGAATGTACTTGCATTAAATGTGTCAATGACATATATGGAAAAAGACTAGTCTTCGTGTTTTGTTTTATTTATATTTTTAACGTCACATGGACATTTAAAACTATTTATGGCTATATATAAATATATATAAACAACAAAAACAAGATCTAACGACAGACTAAAAAAGTCCGAGCTGCTTTCACCCTTCACATGACTCTAGGTTTATTCAAAAAAGACATCGTGTCGTCACAATAACATTTCATAACACTAGAATAATAACGTGACGTTGCAATAGCTTGAGTATTGGTGGTCAAATACCGCAAAATTGTAATGGTCCTGTTGAGACATGGTTTTAACCTTTGATAAGCTGGTCGTCTTTCTTTTCTGTTAGAATAGTGCCGGACGCAAATAATTGATACATGTACAAAGGTAATACATTAAATTTGTATATTGTATGTGTACATTGTGATGTCACATGACTATTGTAGTGTGAGATATGTAATTGTGACGTCACGCTGTTTGAAATAAACCTGAAGAGCCCTGTAAAGGGTGAAAAAAAATGATTTCCAGTCGGTCGTTAGATCTTATTTTGTCTATACATACCTACTTCACATAGACATTCAATCTTTTATAAACATAATTAACAACATCGTAATGTTCTATTTTTCAGAAACAAGATGCTCCGAGCGGTAGCTTTCCAAAATTTTATAAAGTTTCGGAAACATCAATCCCTGGAATTTCAGGATGGACCTAATTTCATTGTCGGACCGAATGCAAGCGGGAAAAGTGCCATTTTTGAACTGATCAGGCGATGTGATTCAAATACTGCGAACTCTTCAATTTCGACAGTAGCAGACATAAATAATGATGCTTTTGTGATATGCAAATTTGAAATAAGGCAGAAATTATCAGACAAACTTCCCAAAGGATGTCATGTTTATTCATGTGTCTTTATACCGCACTCGGACTCCAAGGAAATGAACAAACCTGCCGCCAAGGATACCAAGCAAATGTACAAACTTGTTTGTATCACTTATACGGACAAAAAAAGAGAAAAATGTTATCTTGATCACTATCCCAGTATTGATAAAAAAGTAATTTCCTTTTGTAATGATAGCACCAAACTGTCATGTGAATTAGACGGTCTTATAAAGAGTGGCATTTCGGATGTTAAATTGGATGACTTGATACAGAAATTCAAGGAATTGGAATCAGAGTCTGATATCAGTGAATGTGAATCTGTTCTCCAGGCTATACACGGTGCTGTTGTCGTAACCTTTCCCATACGTTCTCCGGGACCCATTCAATGGAGCCATAGTAGAAACATTGGTGAAGGAAATGAGCATTACGACGCAGCCTCAAACAAGGCGGAGATACTTCAAGAGCTGCTGGAATCTGAAGATGTCGATATGGAAAAAGCAAACCAAATATACCAGACAATTATTCGTCCATTGAAATACAAATTCGAAATGGATGGAAAGTCACGAATTACTGTTAATGATGGTGAAACAGATATACGATTTCTGAAAGTACCGGAAGGAATCATAGAAGCAAAACAGTTTGCATTGATGTATGCACACCGGAACTATCAAACATTAGTGTTAGAGGAACCGGGCCGAGGTATGCACCTCCACATGATTCAGAAGTTACGGGACCTAGTGTTCCGGACGCACACCAAGGACCAAGGAAAAGTGTTGTTGCTAACCACCCATCATACAGCGATGATCAACCACTGGTCAATGTCCCGAATGTTCATTTGTAGGAGAACGAGGAATGCCGACGGTATAGTGGAACACCGCGTTGTCAAATTGAATGAAATAAAAAAAATCTATGAATTGGAGGACATATTGAAGGAAATGGTGTTCTCTGAAGCTATACTGTTTGTCGAAGGTTTCACAGACAAAAAGGTTATTCGATCAGTATTTGATCGGGTTTTGGAGGCAGAACATATTGTTGGATTAACCGAACCTCAGCTGACCGATTTTCAGCAAATGGCTGCTAGAACTCAAATAATTTCTATCGGCGGATCAAGTAATCACGAGAGAATCACAACTCTAACAGAAATTAGTGAAAGACTAAAAATACCATGTACGTTCCTCTTTGACAGGGACAAAAAGTTTCACTGTAAGGCGGAACTTCATCTAGCAGAGCATGATGCAAACCGGAAAAATAAGGCGCGTGATGCAAACTGGAAAAAAAGTACGCATGATGCAAACCGGAAAGATAGGGAGCGTGATTCAAACTGGAAAAACAAGGCTTCGTTCTGCGCTAGAACTCTTTTCAAAAGAAGGAGCGAATATTGCAAAGAAAACCCAGGCGAAACCGGAGAACAAAAAGTCGAAAGCGACAACTTTGATGATGTTATGAAGGTTCTTCTCAATATGAAAAACAATGATGAACGATACGTAAATGGAAAGCATGAGCTGGGCTTTGAAGGAGACATTGAGGAAGTCGAAACAACCAAGGTAATATCGTTCATTAGACGTGTTGTATTGCCTGAACCTCTAGAACAGGAAGCAGAAAAAAACACAGAAGAAGACGCAGAAAAAACCCAATTCATATGGAAATCTGGACATCTTGAGGATGTAATTTGCAAAAGTATCTTGGGTGACCAGACAGAAGTACAACAGTCGACCGCATCAACATCAAATCAAACTGACTTTGACGTGGCTTTCCTAATAAAAATGTTTGTGTGTAAAGATCATGAAGGTAAAAATCCTATAAAAGAGACACTCAAACATATGAATATCCAAACAGCTCAAACACTTTCAACATATCTGCTGAAAAGAGGTGAAATGAGAACATTTTTGCAATTTCTGTCAGACATCGAAAAGCCAAATCTGAAGATAAAAACAACTAAATAGATAAACGATGAAAAACAAAAACAAATCATGTTATAAAAAAATTGGCGAAATGGGAAGGCTTGCAATTGTTCTGAATATAGTGGAAGAATATCTGAACAAGGATTGTTTCGTTCCTCGAAACTTTTAATTTCTATATAAGACATATGTTTGAAACAATAAACTATGAACATTTTCAGTATCTATCATCAGCATTTAAAGATGTCGATAGCGTCAAATTCATAGGAGAATAACAAAGAGGTTAAGGGATCATCTTTCTGGGCTCTGAAAATTTCGAGGATATGGTTGTAGAATCATTTTCGAATGAATGCCAGTCAGTTAAACATCGGAAAATTCTGACGACAACAAAACAAACATTGACATACAAGAAGAAGGATTATAGGAAACAGCGGAAACAAACGTATTCCTTGTTAAAAGTCATCAGTTGATAGTTTATATTTTAGGTAAAACATCTTTGTTTTTTTAACCGGTAAAACGTGTCCATCAAGCTTTAGAAAGAAAAGTTTGAATTCTTCAGGAAACAGACATTCACAGGCAGTGGTTGAAGAAGTTATCATTGTGTGTGACACGGTCTTAGAGCTTTGCTATATACCACAATAAGATAATGAAGCGGAAGCATCAGTTGTTATTTGTAGGCATTACGTCTCGGAAATCACGCCTTCATGTAAGTACACGGAGCAACGGCCTGCCTCTTACACGACATGCATTACACTAGCACAAACAAAGGTTATCAGGTGCAATCAAACACTTGTGGTTGTAATAGAATGTGTTGAATTCTCTATCAAATCAGTAACTGTGAACTACTTGAATTTTTATGCTCTCCCACGAATGATCTTTTTGATATTATTGTGGGTTTGTTTTATGTGGGTTTCTAGCCTTCTCGGAAAACCCCCTCAAATGGTCTAGGTTATTTCACGAATATTTACCACCATGGTGTAATATTAAAAGGTCGTGTTTCGTTCTGTTAAATAGCAGTCAAATGTTTGCTTAATTTAAACAATCATGTGTTACATTTTGAAGTGAAGTTGAATTTTAAGATATGTTCCTGACTAATATCCTTATGTTGAGTTTGCATAACGATTACATAACTGGTACCATCAGAGATGAAAAAAGTACAGGCTCGCATCATCCGTATTTATTCTTGTATATAAGCTACAGTTAGGGTTGTAAATATTTTTTATATAATTTACTAATTGTTTTACGGGACATATTCCATTAGGTGTGTAAGCGTGCCAAACACATTTGTATTTATACATATTAATTCGATAAAGCTAATCACTTCTCTAAAGTATTTGATAACAATATGCCGGCAATTTATAAGATTTTGTTTTGCTAATTATGTTCTTGTAGATGCTTTTGAACATTTTCCTTAGTATGTTTTTATGGTTTCGTTGTTGCTTCTCCGGTTGTGCGTTTGAGAGCGTGACATTATCTGAATTTGACCGACATTTACATGGCTGGTGTCGTCGATAAAGCATAAAAAGCTTACCCTTTCAGAACACCTGGTCTTATTCTCCTAGTATGTTTCACATATCTCTTTGAAAATCTTACCTTTGATCATATTTATCCCTAGTTTTATCGATTTCGAGTTTAATTGACACGTCGGTATCACCTTATTTTCTGTTATATTAATTGCGATTTTTTTTTTACTTTGTTATATTTAAACACATTTCTGAACGCGCACTTGTAAAACAATTTCATCCGATGTACATATCTATCTCTGTGGCTTTGTTCTTGTGATTAGCACTAACGTTATGCAGTATGTTTGTTATATGACTACTCAAAGCACTTGAAAGGAATTACGTATGTTTATATTTGTATGACGTTTTGTACAGTTACATTTCGGTTTCTTAAAGTTTCATTTGTAGTCAATTTCGATCACCACCTGACATAGATTGAAGTTGTTTTTACATGCAAAAAATATAGATGAAACACTGTAATTATATACCAGTCGTAATTAGGTCTTTTTACCCAACGATGAGAGGACTTATTGTTTTCGTTTTACAAATGTTGTGATATTTAAACAACTAAATCAGTAAAATCATTTATATCATAGTGCCATTTTGTATGATATGGATGCCGGTGAAATGTAAGTCCTTATTTTTTCATCGTTGAAAAGTCATTGTCAACTTGTGAAGCCCACAGGAGGCTGTTGATTTTAATGAAGTCAATCAAAGTAATCTGATATCATTTCTACATTTGTAAAGTGTCTTCTTCTGTCACTATATGCTATAAGGACGTGCATTTGGGTAAATATGTCTCAAGAGGAAGTCCTTAAAACGCCGATAGCTGGATTTGTAGAAAGACTTGTGCCTTACAGTAAGAGATGCTGAATGTTATTATTGTAACTTTAAGTTTCAAACTTCAATGTTGTAATTGTAATAGGCTTTTCTGTGACGTTTTGGAAAATCTCCCTCTTCCCAAACTCAAAGTATGTTGGTATTTACGGCTATGTGGAGTATTGGTAACGATGTATTATGTTTTAGTGGATAAGGAGGAAGGAACCCAAATTGTATCAGTACCCAAATCGTTTCACTCTTTGCACAAATACTTTTAAATCAATAAATTTATCAAAACTTAAAATATCTAAATAATATTTTATAAGGGCCCCGTATCAGAGATACGGGTGCCCTATAGTAATCACTCTGTCTGTCTGTCTGTCTGTCTGTCTGTCTGTCTGTCTGTCCACAAATTTTGTTACTGGCTGATAACTTTGGTATTTATTGACCGATGTACCTGAAACCTGGTCAAAATGTTCAGTTCACAATAATACACATTGAGGTAAAACGTCAAGGTCAAAGGTCAAGGTCATTAGGTATCAAAGGTCAAGGTCAAATTTTACATCTTTTTACTGATGAACATCTTGTTATGACATAATGAAGCAAAGCTGATCAGAATTAAACAAGGAGTCAACTGATCAAAGGTCAAGGTCATTGGGTCAGGGGTCAATGTCAAATTGTGTAGTTTTCACTGGTGAACATTTCGCTATGACATTATGAAGCAAAGTTGTTCGGAATTAAAGAATGAGACACACTGAGGTAAAAAGTCGAGGTCAAAGGTAAAGGTCATTAGATTCAAAGGTCAAGGTCAACTTTTGCATCTTTTCACCGATGAATATTTTGTTATGACATGATGAAGCAAAGTTGATCAGAATTAATCAAGTAGTCAACTGACCAAAGGTCAAGGTCATTGGGTCAAATGTCAAGGTAATTGGGTCAAAGGTCAAGGTTAAATTTTGTATCTTTTCACTGGTGAACATTTCCTATGACACTTTGAAGCAATGTTGCTCAGAATTAAACAAGGAGTCAATTGACAAAAGGTCAAGGTTACTGGGTCAAAGGTGAAGATTAGATTTTTTTACCTTTTCCCTGATGAACATTTTGTAATGATATTAACAAGCAAAGTTTGTCGAAACTAAAGAATAAGTCAACTGACCAAAGATCAGGGTCACTGGGTTAATGGTCAAGGTCAATTGGGTCCAAAGGTCAAAGACAAAGTGGATCTCTGACTTTGACCCTGGATCTTGATGGAAGAGGTATAAAAGGTGAAATAGAACAAATCAAAGCTAACAAATGAGTATTGCACCGGTATTTACATTTCTATTAGCCCAGCAAATCTGGAGGTGGAAGGAAACAAGACTCGCATCATAGTAAATGTAAAATCTATATTTTGTTTTCTTGCGATTCAAAGTCCAAATGTCAAACATCAAGCTCAGCTATATGGGCAGATTGCTTCTTGATGTTTATGAGGGATATATTGTCACAAGACACGTCGGTATCACCTTATTTTCTGTTATATTAATTGTGATTTTTTTTACTTTGTTATATTTAAACACATTTCTGAACGCGCACTTGTAAAACAATTTCATCCGATGTACATATCTATCTCTGTGGCTTTGTTCTTGTGATTAGCACTTAAGTTATGCAGTATGTTAGTTATATGATACAACCATTAACTCATAACTAATCCGCTATTATCAATGAATGAAGAAAACGATGGTTTGGTGATCCATATTTTGGATACTTTCACCTTAGTTATTGGAAAAGTGAAATATATATTTTTGCATGTCATTTTACAAGGTTACACTCTTGACCTGCGTTATAAATAGTACTTTTCAAGATAAATGGGGAATGGAATTGTTACAATAAGCATAAATGAGTTATGTATATAGATGTATCAAATATTATTTAATTTTCTATTCGATCATTTTGTAATTGCTATGTGTTTTGTATTTTTGTAAATAGTTTAAATGAACGTGTCTACTCCTATTCTTAACAGGATCGGAAGTTTGCTTAGCCTGTTATACGGAGATAATCTGAAATTTGAAGCCCAATCATTTGGTACATTGATGTTACGTAAAAGTGTTTCTAGGAGTTCGTAAAGGCTATGAGCGTCTTGTTAAGTATTACCAGAAATTACAGCAGTTATATATTTATATTTCATCTGTTTGTCATAATAATCTTTCCCGTTTTCCCATTCATTATTCAAGATGAGCAATTGCCTTTATATGTAGCGATGTACTATTTCAGTTATATTGAAGTTATTTCTAAGCTCTGAAATCTTTCCTAATGCATATGTATTTTTTAATGTTAGCGTTACTCATTCATGATTTATGTTTCCTTCTTATTTTACAAAATGAAGATAGTTAAATGGAAATGGAAATGATAATGCATTCAGCTGGAATTGATATTTTTCCTAATTTTGTGTACTTATATTTTTGTCTTTGAGAAAAAAACTAGTTGGTATATGCGAATAGTAAATATTCGCATGACAAATATCGTCATATGAGTTGATATTCCTTTTAAATTTTTGTGTAGAGTATTGTTAGCTGGACACACTACTTTGATGGAGCCATTTATCATTACCGTGTTCACTATAAAATATACTCCCTTATCAAACGGGGTATAATTTGTTACCCTATATTCAATACTTACAATCACTAAAATATAATACCAAATCAAGCTTCTCACATTCAGTATTTTATTTTTTCGAATCAATACTATTAACATATACAATAAC